TCACGACAGTGTCCGTTTGTGACACTATCACCGCGAGAAAAATATTTTTAATGCTGATGGTGACATGACACTATCACCACGAGAAAAATATTTGTAATGCTGATGCTGGCATGATGGTGGCTTTTCTGTTCATCTTTTTGAAACCCTGAACCTGTTCTCTGATTCCATCGAGGAGTTTCTGCCATTAAATTAATGCAATATCAAAATAACTCTATATAATGATAACAAAGTTGATAGCTTCCTTCACAGATTCCAATATTTCTGTATTCTTTGTTTTATTTTGTAACTTTTAACTGATTATGATTCATCCAGAAGGACATTTGTACTATAGAGTCGAAGAATTACAGTCAGAAGTTTTTGTTATCATCCTTATTTTGTAAAATCTGCATGGTAGGTACAGTAAGTATATTATAATCGCAATACTTTTTGACTTCTTGTTCTCTTCCACTTTCTTTGTTATTGCAGAAAGCTGCTTTTACAGCTTCTAGTTCTGTAGAATATTTCGTCTAAGATTTTAGAACTTCGTCCTTTGGGATTTTACCCTGGAACTAGAAAGTGATCGAATACTTTTCTAGTGCTATACGATACAATAATCCGTAATTGTTCCGTTTTGACTGCTGTTAATGAAAATATTACTAAAGCGGTGTCAATTCTTTCTCTACTGCTTAAACCGACGGACTATTTCGAAATAGAAATTGTCGGTAATGAGTGATGAAGATATAACCTTATAATTGCTGCCATCAAGAAATAGTAAATCATAGACCGTTCTGTTCCAACGGTATTCATATGCTTGAACTTACATTCATATACTTAAACTGGATTCGTGATCTGGCAGTTTTCTTTATCACAGGAACTAAATGATCGACCATTCCTATCCAGCCATCTAGTAGCAGAATGTTGTATGATTTTGTTTTGCTCTCATTGTTGATATTCGACATGGATCCAAACGTTAAGATGACGATGGAAGTGAGAGTCAACAGTTTACCTGGATGAGTTTTTAAGTACTTCTTTCTTAAACTTCTCCTTTTTGAAATATCATCT